CCCAGCCCCGCCCTCGCCCAAGGTGGAGGGCGCGGCCCCAGGAGGACCGCGGCTTCTAAGCGTCGCGGCCGATACTCGGCCGGGTGGCCGAGGGACCCTGCCCCCGACTCCGAGGCGGGCCTGGGCCTTTCTCTCCGTCGCTTGGCAGTTCGGGCGGCAAGCCGACCACGTGCTGTCCCCGGCGGGTCAGGATTGGGGCCACTCTCGAGCCGAGGGTCGGCCCCCCTCAGAGGTCGGGCCGGCGTCTGTCCGAATCAGAATGCTCAGTGCCTCGGGTCTCCTTACCCTTAGCGCTGGGATCTAGCCTGCTTCGACTACTGTTCCAGCCGAATTGTTTTCTGGAATTCAGTTGTTCTGACCCAAGTAGTCGATAAACATCCGTTGAGGGTCTGCAGAGTGCCAGGCGCTGAGGGTACAGCGGGGAATACCCATCCCCTGTGACGGAGTTGACAGTCCCGGGGAGCAGCCAGACACGAAACGCTAAAGACCATAGATAAGAAACTCAAGTAATGACTATGCTGGGAAGAGAGTGGGAGGACCGTGTAAGGGATGGAGCGCGACAGTCTCCAGGGACGCGCCGTTTGCATCATCAGCATCCCCGATACAGCAGCACATCCCCCCCCCGGAATTAGTCTTACCTCGTAAAATGCGGCTTCATTGTACAGGTATCCCTCTCCCTAATGGTTGTTTGTATGCTGAAACATTCTGTTAGATTGTGACTGTAGGAGCTTATGGAAACATTGTAGTAAGTGGAAACTATCCCACTGACTTCTGGGAGGCCCAGCTTTTAATTATTTGGTAATAATTTGACTTCTGTCACTGCAGGACCCTATTAGGTATCAGAAACAAAGTAGAATAATTCCTTTTTTTTCCCCCCCCTGTGAAATTACTAAAAGATAAAATTATTTTTTCAGGATCCTGGCGATGCAGCACAACAGGAAGCAAAGCACAGGTATGGGCTGGCGCTCTGAACTTTTTGAAGGGTGGTTTCACCAAATGGTTTATTTTTTTTATTTTTTTACTTTAGTTATTTTAATAGTAGGTGAATCTTAAAGTTCTTCCTGATGTGATTTTTCCATAAATCATCAGGGTGACTTTGTTATTAATTTGTTAATTAAATAACTGTGGAACCCAACACTTATTACCTTGTTAATACAGTTACTGTTTGTTTCTGTGCTAAACTTCGATTACCTTAAAATGAGCATAACAATAGGATTACCTCCTAGGGATGTTGTGAGGGTTACATGGGTCCAGTGCCTCACATGTAGTAAGTGCTAGATAAATATTAACTTATATTCTTCTTATTGTTATTTTATCCCAGCACATGGCAGAACACTTCACACATGACAGGTTTATTGAATGAATACTTAGTTATCCCATCATGCTACTTTTTTTCTAATTGTGATAAAAGAACACACAACATAAAATTTACCATAACCATTTTTAAGTGTACAGTCAGGCATGTTAACTATACTCTCATTATTGTGCAATGGAACTTTTTCATCTTGCAAAACTGAAACTGTACTTATTGAAGAACTCCCCACTTTTCCCTCCCTCCATCATGCTACCTCTTAACTTAACCAATATTGAGAATCTGCTCTAGGTCAGGCACTATGCTGGGTCTGTAGAAACAGGCAGACAGAGAAGGGTCCTGCCCTTATGTGGCTTATTTTAGTGAGAGAAAAGAGATGGTAAGCACCTGGGATGTGCTCAGAAAATAAATCTACATAAATTTCATTGATTCTAAGATGTACAGTTTTTCACATTTTAACATATCTGAAATTGGAATGGATCTTGTAATTGATTACTATTGTTATGGATTCTTCCAGAGAGGATTTACTTTGCTTCTGCCATCATTTGGGTACATTTTTAACCTGAGACGTCTTAAAATCAAATTCTCTGCTTGAGGTTCCCTCCTTGTGACTTCAGACAGCACACCTGCATGACTAAAGCTTGAAGTGCAGATTCTCAGGGGAACTTTTTTCTTCCTCCACTCAGGGCCACGTTTCACATGCATCCTTACTTGCTGTCCCTTTCTGCATGGCAGGTTTATTTCTTTTTTACCTTGTACTGTGGATGTTGCTCTTTGATGCCCCATTTCGAGTCTGGGGAATCTCCTATTAGCCTCCTCCTCTAGGGTGTTTCTTTGTTCTTAGAGGGACATTACACTGGTTCATCTTACAATCAATGGCATCTTAGATTCAGTGAAATGTAGTAACAGTAGTTTATGGCAGGGTTGAAGTACTCAGGTGTGGTAAAGAAATGGCCTACGGGAGTGGGCTCCAATCTATGTTCCATGAACGCTACGGGGGCAATTAGTGGGCACAGCCAGTGCCAGCTCCCCTCAGTTCAGCCAGAGAATCTCTGCTTTTGTCTGTGTTGTGTATTAAGGTCCTTGAAGGACTTCACTTAAAAAAAAATTGCTGCTACTTAAAAGATTTGAAACCACCGTCCTGTTAACATGAACTAGTTCCTACTTGTATAGGTAGGAAGATGCAAAGATATTTGCAGTTATAATTTCATTCCCCTTCCTCACCCAAAAAAGAGACCTGAGAGTCTTCAAACATGGTATCTGGTTCTAGCTTGGCCACGATTCCCTTTGGCCCCTTAAAGTTAACATAGCCTCCGTAGGTCTTGGCTTCTTCATCTCTTAAAATAATTCTATGGATTAATCATGTAGTCTTTCTGATTGGTGGAAATCTCACTACAGATTTCTAGCACCTCTCACATACTAACTAGGTAGGTACTTAATAAATGTTGGTAATGGTGGTTGACTGAAACTCCGTCCTGAATTGTGAAAATGCGAAGTTTTACCTTTCAGCCTGGTAGGTTTACACCCACATAATCTAAAGCTGGCTTTGGAGGGCAAGAGTGGACGCTTCTATAATAATAGCTGCTGCCATCCTCACAGCACCTACTACTGCATACACAGTCTATGTGTGTGGCAGGCTTCCATCTTGGGGAATGTGTTCAGTGAATTACATTTTTGTATGTTTAAAGGAATGCCGACAGCTTAGTTCTAAATTTTGCTTGACCTGTTTTTGTTGTAGGGAAGCAGAAATGAGAAACAGTATCTTAGCCCAAGTTCTGGATCAGTCAGCCCGGGCCCGGTGTAAGTATTAGGTAACATTTATAGGAAACAACTCTTAAGTCAGTCACGAAATGTGGCTGGTAGTTGACGTGGGTGATGGGGGCTTGGGAGTTATTGTATTCTCCATTTCAGTTCATAATTTTTCATAATAAAAACCAAAAAGAAAACCATGTAGAAAAAAAATTAAATGAACTATTGGGTTGTCGGAAAAGTCATGAGGCATTTTTGCAATGAAAAACAGAAAAAATACGTCATGACTTTTCCAACAACCCAATAGTGTCTTCTGTATTGTAACTTGAAGCCTGGCTTAGAAGAGGGAGCCTTAGATGGATCTCTGCCATTATATGTGTATAGTAACGTATAACTTGTTTTCCAGAGGGCAATCATATATATTTTTTAAAAAGCCATAGGGCTTAGAATCTGAGGACCCAAGCTTAATCTTGGCTTTGTCACTTCCTCTGCATGGCCTTGACAGAGACCGACATGACTGAACTTCAGTTTCCTCATTTTTAAGAGGGGTGACAATATCTTCTGCCATACCTACTTTGCTAGTCTCAAGACATAAATAAGTCTGTGAAGTGCTTTGGAAATGTTGGTGCTTAGTTTTAAGGTACAATGTAAGTGCATTTAGTTTTGATGCTTTTTTGTATATTTACTTTTTTCTTTTTAGTAAGTAACTTAGCACTTGTAAAGCCTGAGAAAACTAAAGCAGTAGAGAATTACCTCATACAGATGGCACGATTTGGACAACTAAGTGGGAAGGTAAGCTTGGACTGCCCTGAGGCACTTTTACCTGTTACCTACTCTGTCAAAACATATCTTCAGAAGGTCAATTTCGTGTTTTTCTGGTTACAGAATTCTTGTTGACTATTTCAAGCAAGTTTTTTGTTTTTTTTTTATATTTTATTGGGGAACAGTGTGTTTTTCCAGGACCCATCTGGACCCATCAGCTCCAAATCAAGTAGTTGTCTTCAATCTAGTTGTGGAGGGCACAGCTCCTTGGACCATGTGGGCATCGAACTGGCAACCTTGGTGTTATGAGCCTGCGCTCTAACCACCTGAGCTAACTGGCCACCCCTCAAGGAAGTTTTAAAGAAGAAAATAGGTGTATCTTCCATAAAGCCTAAAAGATAACTAGTTGCCTTCCCTAAAATCCTGTTTTCTTTCTGACATTGCTGTGGAACCTTGCGGATGTCTGTGTGACCCAAAGACTGGTAGGGTCAGCTAGCTTAAATTGCTTCTACACTGGAAAGCAGCTTTCTCAATAATACTAATGGAAATACTACCAGTGTAGGCAGACTTTAAGCTTGTTTTGCAAATGAGGAGGTGCTAAAATTCCTGGTTATTATGTGCGTTGCTGTAATGCCAAGATGGGCATATTGTGGCGAGTCTGACCTTCCTTCAAGATCCAGACGCTCCCCACCTGCCACCACAGCCTGTGGGGATCAGTCCTGCCCTGGACCCCTTACACTAAGAATGTGTGGAAGAGACAGTGAACGGTTCATCTTTTTTAAGTGACTTGTTACCTGCACTTCATCTACTCAGGGTCTCAAGGGCAGAGGTGGTGTGTCTGTATCCCTGACACTTAACAGAGTGGTGGAGGTGGTTGTCTTTTTCTGCTAGTGGTGATAAAGGCGTTCTTAAATACCTGTTAACTTTGGATTTTTCTGAGGAAGCTAATTGATGGATACTTACCCCCTCCTCAAAGGAGGGCTAGCAGAGCAAATTTTATAAGGAACCAATACGGGCATACCTCGGAGATATTGTGACTTTGGCTTCAGACCACCACAGTAAAGTGAGTTGTAATCTTTTTGCTGGTAGAGGGTCTTGCCTTCACTTTGTAAAAAAATGCAACACCTGTGAAGTGCAGTAAAGTGAAGCCCAGTAAAAGGAGGTGGACCTGTGGTTATAACTGGTAGTTTCAAACTTCAGTCCCATCTGGCCTTCCCTCTTGGCCACTACCCCCACACCCCAGGAAGACGAAAACAGTTCAGTCTGCTGAGGTCAATTCTTTGTTTAAAAAAATTACTGTTTTTCTTTCTGGTTATCCTAGGTAACAGAACAAGGTTTAATAGAAATCCTTGAAAAAGTAAGCCAACAAACAGAAAAGAAAACCACAGTTAAAGTAAGTTTCTGCAAATGCACATGGCAAAAGAAAAAGATTGATATTTTTTTAAATGATGTGTTGAATATGCATCTATTGTATCAAAACACGTTTCAGCCCATTTCAGCCCATTTCCATTTTGTAACACGTGGAAGTTTGGGGAGAAAGGCTGCATGTATTGAGGGTCCAATTTTTAAGGTTCTCCTGTCGTCGTCCCCCCTCTCCTTAGATCTAAAACACTTTAAGTTGTTTTAAAGACGGACAAAAATATCTTGCTATAGTAGGTAGAAATATTTCTTCTCAGAAAGTCTGAGTTGTGCTTTATTAAACACGTAACAACACTTGTTTTTTCCCCGCAGTTCAACAGAAGAAAAGTAATGGACTCTGATGAGGAGGATGATTACTGAATTTAAAGATGCTTAGACGCTGGAACTTAGTGGAACAATTCTAGGACCGATAATTTTTTGGCAGAAGTTAAATCTGATTGAATGTTTACTTTGTTTATTGTCTATATGCCTTTAGAAAAATAAACTTGTTATGTAAAATAAAACAATTTAGGTAAAGTTGTTTTAGTATCATAGCTGAATGGACAGATCGGCATTTTGCTTTTTTTCCTTACCAAAAAAATATGTAGCAGCATGTATATATCTTTGAAATTATGACATTAGTGTTAGGTAGGAAAATGGCCTTAGCAGAAATAGAAACTGCTCAAGCAGCCTTCAGTAAGAAGAAAACAGCATCCAGTAATATCACGGGCGTTAAAACCTATGGATTAAGCTGAATCAATTTTAATCTCTAATATTTAACATCTACTATTTCTAAGACACAGGTTCTAAAAGCAGGCAAGCTGTTTTTCTGACTGCAGATAGTATTACATTTAATGTAAAAAAAATTCATATCTTTGGTTTCAACTGCATTGAAATACATTATCTAACAAACATTACCCCTATCCAGAAAATCTATAACTAGAGTGATACTTCCATTGAAAAGAATCCCCAAAATAACCAGGATATACTGGTAATAATACTTCAACAATGATAAATATGTTTATAAGAGAAATGACTTCTGATTAAGATCCGGTTGAGACAGTTTAACAGTTTACATTTTCGTAGAAATGTTCTGGGTACTTCACTGATAAAAGTTGCAGGTAATTTACAGCAAATGTCATCTCTTACATTTTGCTTCACTCCCACTAGGTTCTGAAACCTTTACTCTCATAAATTTAACTGTCAAGTGAGCTGTTCAGTATAACTTTTCAGATGTTTTAGTCCTGTGAGACCCAGCCCAGGAGGAAGTTGCAACATTCAGAGAGAGGAGTAGGGTTAGTACCAGAAAAGTGATGGGATGTGTGGTTCACAAGCCCAGTCTCTGCTTTAGCTAGCATACTGCTGATGCATGTTTAAACTGTATCTGAGAGTTGACTCTTATTTGAGACTTGAAATTTATAACTAGTGAAGGAAGAAAGTGTTGGAATTAAGTGTCTAGCTTTCCTGAATGAAATAAATAAGAACCATGAAGAACATCAAACAATTTTTATAGGAACAGAATTAAATCGTCAAAAGTAAATTTTCATCCAGGATTTTGAAAAAAAAAATCCCAATTACAGGTAAATTTTGCTTTAGGTCTCATTTATACAAAAATGCTGGAGGGAAACTAGACGATTCTCAGCAAGTCTTGTTACATGCTTTCTCTCGCAGGATAACCACTGTCCTAACAGCAGCTACTGATGTGAATATGTTTAAAGACTGCGGTCGAACTCCTGTCCAAAGACACTTTAGAATAGAAAGTGGTTCTATACAAGGCTAGAAATTTTTTTTTTTTAGCTGAGCCATCCTGCTACCTGTTGGCAGCTCAGCCGCTGCTCAGCTGAGGCTGGACTCGAACTGCTGTTGCTCAGCTCAAACTCTTGAGGGAGCTCTTAACCAACTGAGCCACTCAGCCGGCCCTTAAGGCTAGAAATTCTTGAAGGCAACAAGGGTGGAGTACATTTCTATCTAGGGAGTGGGAAGTGGTTCTAAACTTTATAATTCAACTGACAAAGCTTTGACTTCAAAACATTCTTATGCAAAATAGAAATTTGGACATTACCAATTTCTGAGTTGTCAAATCAAGTTTAGTAAAGCAATTGGAGAAAAACGTGTGTTTTTTAAAATAATCCAGGTCAGTCACTTCAGGTGGCTCACCCTGCTGATTACCAGAGTAGCTCAAGAGGAAACTCCTCCCCTAAGATTGACAGTCCCATTCAGGGTACTTATATCTCCAGATAAAGGGTACACCAAGCTGGAAATGGTCAATTTGGATGACACCACCAATCACAGCCGATTGGGCTTCAACCCCAGCTGTGATAATACAAGCAAATAAGTCCCCTTCTCTGAACCTGTTTCTTCATTTGACAATTCTGCCAGGACAATTGTTAAAACCACAAGGGTATACACAGAGGTATAATTTACAAATTATATCACGCCATCCAAAATATGGAAATGGATAACTGCATAGGATGTAGTTTGTTGCTTAGGATGGTAGCAACTTAATAAGCTGTTTTGTTCAAAAGTGGGGAAAAGGAGGGAAAATAAATTGGCAAAGCAACAGTGCACATTTCCTGTTTGGACTAAGAAGCTGTATTTATTTTTGTTTTGCTTTTAAAAGAAAACTTTGCAGGCCCTAGGCACTGTCTAATCTAATGCATTGTCAGCCCTAGTCAGGGTAGATGGGGAATGGTCTGCTGTGAGTGATCCAGATTATATGTTTCAGTCACGTGCATCTATAACTGAAAAACAAAATGTATAACCATCCAATGGGGGAAGATTTTGCCATACACAAAGCATGTTTATAGCAGAGAGGCTTAGAAAAAACATCTCCACAGCAAAACAACTAAAAAAAGTATACCATGACACTCTCAAGAATCATAAAGTTTACTGCTTCTTTTCCATCATTTGGCACATACCCAAGGCACATTAGAAAATTAGAAGTCATAAATTACTTTGTAGAAAAATAATCAGCCCCTCCCTTCTATACATACACAAGTATTTCTAAGAACATGCACAAAACCATTTCCTTATTACAAAGTTATCTGAGAATGTACTCAGGACAAACCCATGTTTGTGGCTCTGGACCAATTAATAACATAAAAAAATAAGTATAATGTATAGAAATTCATAAAAAGTAAATGGCAATAAATTCTAACTTAAAGTAACTTTGACCTGGTTTGTGCTGTAAATTTTGAATCTGAATCAAAAGGCTAAGAAAAGATGTGCCAAATCTACTCTCTAGTTTAGTTACCATCCTTCAGGTGTGACATTTAAGGGACGGTTCTCAATGGAAAGGCATGTTCATAAAGACACTGCCACAGACGCGGGTGTACACTCATCAAATATCTGTACTTAACTTGGTTGTAAGAAAAATTATACTTAACTTCCCCTACACACATAGTGTAGCACAGGTCACAGAGGTCCTTTTCACTCAAAAGAACATCTAAATGGCATTTAGGCATCTTTGGGTTCAAGTGTTGCTTTGCAAAGGAACATTTTTCCAGGCCCTGTTTTCTTCTTTCAAATGGGACATTTCTGCCCAGCCCGTGCCATGGAACCTAAATTGTTTCTCTTCAGCTTATCCCAGATGAAGAAATTCTTTTAGCTTGTGGTTTGTTAATTTATACACATCACAGAGGTTTAGCACCTTTCAGTTGGAGGAGGTCAGAATCTGGTGATGAAACCTCTTAAATGCAACCAAGGAACCTGTATACTTAAGAAGAAACAAACATACACCACGGTCTTAAGGATCTGGACACCACTAGAATTTTCATCCATTCTTTTTTAAGTGTATTCATTAGCTTTGAAGAGGAAAGAGGTGGTGATCGTTTTCTTTGTTGCATTCATCCAGCCACAGAAAAGCTTTCGGGAATGTTCTGCTTTTCTCTCAAGTCCAAAAGAAAGTCCATTTAGTTCTACGCTGTACTCACGCTTGGCATCTTCTTGTTAAGGACTCCCTTCTTGGCAGCCAATTGAATTCCTTATTACTTTTAAGACTGGGAAACACTACCCTCCTGGGGAGTGGGGAGGTTGTCGGCAGCCTCTGGGCCCTTGGGTGCCACGACATTATTGACAGTGTGTCTACGGAGCATGCGCCTATTTCCAGGAGCAGTTTGTTTCAGTCCAGGCCTCGGGGGCTGATCCCCGTCTCCTCTGTTAGCAGTCTGAAGTCTGCTCTGGTCGGGCACGTTATTCTGCTTCTGTGTCCTTCTTTGTTTCCCTGGCTAGAGAGAAGGTACAATTCAAACGTTCACATGTGCACTGTACTTCAAACCATCACCATGACAACAACAGCTACCCTGGAGAGCTTATCCGTGCCATCCAATGTGCTCAGGACTTTCCACTCTGACATCCCTGTGGTGATAGTCTGACACGTGTCAGACACAAGTGTAAATAGATGCTTTATGTGCTTTCACATTTAACCTTGACAGCTCGGACAAGTGTGTACCATTGTGTTCCCCATTCTACAGCTGAGGAAACAGGATCGGCAAAGTTAAGCAATCTGCCTCAAGTCCCATAGCTAGCAAGGGAAAATCTAGCCCCTGACTGAACCAAGGCAGATTTCCAAGTTTGCCCGTTTCCCACCCAACAGCCAAGTCATGAAAGATTAAACGTGAAATCAGAGTTAGTTGTGTTAACAAAAATCACTTGAATTCTCTACAGCAAAGATTGAGAATGCATGTTTGTTCCAACAAGCCTCTGCAATACACGCTATAAATTCAATGTTTCATCAATAGTTGTATATTATGTCGTCCAGCAGCAATAAGAAGACTCATGTTTCTGAGGAGCGTCACCTAATATCACCACAGAATGTAAAGCTGCCTTTTTTTTTCCCCCCCTGTTGGGGGCTCACGGCAGCTCATGGAAACTCACGCCAGCTGCCGGCCAGCCCCACTGCAGCCTATGCCATCACCGGCGACTCATGGCAGCCCAGCTCCAGGTCGAGATGTTGTTCGTCATCTTAGCTGTAGAGGGCGCAGCATCACTGGCCTGCATGTGGGATCCGAACCGGGGCCCTGCTGCTTAGAGCTGGTGTCCCAAGCCAACTCCTAACCAACGCGCCACTCGGCCGGCCCAGTTGCTTTCTTTTTAGAACAGTGATTACATAGTGCTGGAAGAAGATGGCCATGTACAGAATTCTCTATACGAGCAACTTCATACATATTTGGAGAAGTTTTTTATCCATCTACATATAAACTTGTTTTCATTCTTACATCAGTGATGAAACACATTAGTGAATTTGCTTAGTGAAATTTGAGATATTTCACCAAGTACACACACACCATGAACTAACTACAGCATCTTTCCACACATATAACTATTTTCCACTTTTTCCTCACTTTCCTTTCTCAGCTCAGAAGCGTATTTTTTTTTTCTTCTGCTGAGCCATCCTGCCACCTGTTGGCAGCTCAGTGGCTGCTCAGCTCAGGCTGGGACTCGAACCGCTGTTGCTCATAGCTCGCACTCTTGAGCAAGCTCTTAACCAACTGAGCCACTTGGCCAGCCCTGAAGTGTATTTTTAAATGTTACAATAAATTAAGTCTATATTCTTGACCGT